GAGAGAACCTAGTCGCGGTTTACAGGATGAAAGGAATTAACGCTTAGCCAATTGATGCAGAAATGTACATGGAGATATAGAACTTTCGTATGTACCACCTAGAAATTTTGCTATGATTTCTATAGATAAAGATCTGGAAGCAAAGGGGTTCTATATAAAACTCGAACATATTTTTTATTTGCGTTTGATCACTTCTTGCGGGCTGATACTGCTGCTGCAATGCCGCCAGCCACGAGCCCAACCGCGGTTGCAGCAATGCCGATGCCAATAACTCCATCTTTTTGTTTTTAAAAAGAAAAATGAAAAAGGTCGGCCAAACAATTCCATGTAAAAGGCAAGTTAGGATAAAAAAATGGAGTATTACTTTTTGCAACATGTGCTCTGCACGTTATGGATTTTGCAACCTGAACCATTTTTTGGTGAATGCAATCCATGGTACACGAAATTTATGTGCTGCCATCTCGGATTGGAAAATGCTTAAAATTTTGCAGGAAAATGAATGAGCGAATGAAAACTTGGCGAAGGCACAATGAGAGGTGGAAATAAGGTGCATGTTCAATTTCTTTTGAAAAGATTTGCAGACAAAAATACAAGGAAAGGCGGCAAATGTTATGGTGGTGGTCCAACTTAAGGACCTGTTTGGCGAGGCTATGACTTTGGCATACGATGTAGAGATGTATGGTCTGTTTGTGATTCCGGTAGCGGCAATGGTAGGTATTGGAATCAGCTGTGCACGATTTTAATTATTCATTTTTTCCAGCATTTTCCAACCCAGAGGCTGAGATGTATAAATTCATTCCTCTAGGAAAAAACTTTGCAAAAGCCAATAACATGTAAGATACACGTTGCAATGAATACTTTTTTCATTAGAAAAAAGGTGGGAGATTCAAACAAGTAATAAATGAGCATGAGTTACCTTTGGTAATTTTATCTTCAATTGCTTTCTTAAGGTTCAAGGCCTGCCTCCAATCAGGAGCAATCTGTAGTAATCCAACCACGTATAGAAAGAATGAGAGAGAGAGGGAGAGATTTTGGAAAGTGGAACACTTGAAAAACTGGATATGACAGAACTGAAAAAACATTTTCTGCGAAGAGAAGAACGTGATCATATATTTAAACTTCGATGACTCAAAAGAGTTCAAACCTGCAGACAACGATCCACAAGCTGCCTGCTCCTGGAGTAGTCCCCGCTTCTGTAGTGTCCAACACCAAGAAGATAAAGCTTTTCCCTCTCCTGCAAGGGGCTGCTTGACCCGGCAGCCAGAGAAGCTGCTAGGGACAATTTTTCAAGGGTGTCAAAAAGAGTAAAATCCAGTTAAGCTGTAGGTGGGATTTGTTGTCAAATAGATAGCGGTTGATGAGACAACAATAAAAGATAATGTAACTGAGAGTTAATGACGATTAGTTCAGGACTATTCCACAGCTATATTGAGATTCACGAAAAAACTCCTCCTCGACACACACACACACACACACACACACACACACACACATAGAGAGAGAGATAGAGACAAAAGAGAGAGAGAGAGATAGAGACAAAAGAGAGAGAGAGAGAGATAGAGACAAAAGAGAGAGAGAGAGAGAGAGAGAGAGAAAGTTATCACCTTCCAGCATAGCTATTCCACGTTGAACATCCTGAGGCCTTTTGGAGTGAACGAGGGCCCAAGATAAGCGCATGATGCATTCATTTTTCACCTTATCAGAGGAACCTTTTTGAGCTTCAGCAACCTCGTGCTCACAACCCTGTACACGTACAGAACTCAGAAATTATGAGAAACAAATGTTATGAATGAATGCAACAAAGTAAAAGAATTCCCTATGATCTGTGATACAATATTGAGTAATAACACAATTAAACCCTATGCATGCATTCAGATATCGAGGAAAGCAAGACTCAGAAACACAAGCCATATCATTATGAACACTTCTTCGAATTAATCGATCGGAATATTCGTTTTTCAGTTGATACTCCATTTTGGACAAGATGTGTACAAAAACCTCTGTAGCATGAAACAGAAAATCCTATTTCAAAATTACCCATTCAATAGGGTAATCTAATTGAAAACAAATGAACTGAGTTGCAACCAGCACAAATTGTCCTACCCAAATTTCCAACTCAATACAGGCTCCACTAGTCACAGTTGGGGTATAACGAGAACACAAAATTGTCCAAGTTTAACGTGTAGTTGCAGTTACAAGTTCACAGCCTCTCTGGGCAAGAGACTATAACAGATGTACTGATACACATCTTGTTTTATTTAAAAGCCAATTTGGCGACGTATCGCACAGATAGAACAGAATTTATTCGTCAAGCAATCCAATCAGTCCTTGAGACGAAAGAGGACCGTGACAACCCATGTAATTGGATGCAAGCAAATTGCTATAAACCAGTAAGGCGAAAGGCCGGTATACTACACGATTCCCATTCCTACCAATAACTGAAATAAAATTAAACAAAACGAAGTTGCACCAGGTTCCTGTAACCACCCACAACACCACAAAATTGTCTGACACAGATACACCCTTCAATTGAGGAACTCAACCGATAACAGCAATTTTGCATCACGGCTACTGAATGATCGCTCATACTGCTTCCAAAGGAATTTTACTCGAAAAACAATCAAAGCACCTCTTAAACCCTAGTAACATCACAATGTTTCTGCAGATATTTTCCAGCAGAAGATACCGGAAAAAAAAAAAGATAAACGGAAACACAACAGAGAACGACGATACTTACAGCGACGACATCCAAATCGCACCAGGGAATCTGATCGGTGCCGGAGAAAAAGTTGCCGACCTTATCGAAGAATTTACCGAGCTTCGCTTCCATCTTATGCATAAAAGCAGAGTATATCTCTATGCAAACTTTTATCCCTAAGAAAAAATTGGGGATCTGAGAGCAATCCAAGACTTTGAACTTTGCTAGCTGATCTGTTGAACGCAGAAAATTTTTGAGGACTTTGGAGGAGAAATGTCGAGTGGGTTTACTTCATAAGGGTATAGATGTAAATGTAGGTTATATATCATCTAGCAAATAACACAAAAAAGAATTGGAAACAAAGTTTCAATAAATTTTATTGTAATCTCTATATAATAAGGATTAATATAAATTACTTTTAGTAAATTACTAGTGCAGAGCCCGTGCGATGCACGGGGTGCACAATTTTAAGACTATTTAGCGAAGATTGTTATTATATACATGAATAAAGAAAAATGTGCGGGATATATATAGTACGTGCTCGTGCGATGCACGGGATATATTTATTTGGAGAATATTATATTATTAGATGCAATATTAAATAAAGATATTTATAATACGTAGAGAAATTGTACAATAAGATAGTATTCGACAAAGATACAATCATTATTATTAAAGACCTCCTTGTACACAACATTATGAATTTGATTATTAGTCAAGTCGTTATTCTCACAAACTAATATCTTCAATCCATTTCTATTATTTACACGCGAAACAACAACATATAATAAAAATATTTAATGAAGTGGTAACTTGTACCTTTTCTACAAACATATTAAATATTTTCATGTTAAGAATAAATAATTGATTAGGAAAGAATGTACAAATTATTAGAAAAACAAAACAACATGGTTAGAATGAGATTAGTAAAAATACTTCATGAGTTGAACATTTAAATTAAATAATTGAAATAATTGAAAAGTAATATTAAATGATAGGTATTCTCTGGAATGTACAAGTTGCATGATTAGTACCCATGGTTGACCAGTTTCTTCATAGTGGCTCTTGAAAGTCAAAAGTTTGTCTATACATATTCACTCTAAACCGTGCAATTTAAGA